TTAGGTACGATTTCTCCGTAAGTGTGACGTCAACACCCCCCACTCCCTAACTTTAATGCGGAATAACTACGTATTCTTCTGTTAATTTGATAAAACAAAAAATACGTGTCTGATATTTTCGTGCGATCTTAATGACGGACTAATTACTTTTTTGATTTTTTTACCCTGTCGACACGCCTATTTCCTAGCGTGATTCAAAAATGTTCGCGTCTTGGTATGTGTTAAAATGTAAATAATAGCGTAATGGGCACGTAAAAACAATCAACGCTAAGTTCTCAAGTTGCGCTAGGAAGGTATTCAAATATTACTGGAGTTTTCGATCTGAAACTACTCCGCAATTGTTGTAATGCGATTCCAAAAAAAAGGGACGCTAGAAACTCTCATTGTTTTTTTTTACTAAACGGCACATCGAACATCCCTTTCGCACACCCAAGGCACGCCTTAGAAAAAAAAGCATTTCAGTACAATGAACATTTTGCCCCGATGCGCAAACGCATCCGAAGCTGTCCATACCCAATCAAACTAAACGATATTCAATAGCGTGCACAAACTGAAATAACCAGCGTTACGGATCAGTGCCATTCTGAATACGAGAGTAAAAGAGATAGCTATAAAAACAACGAAGAAAGGAGCAAGACAGATGTATGATGAATAAAAGAACACTTTTTTTAAGGACACCGTTCGGCGTTGGGTATAAAAAGCTGTTCGCACTTCGGTTTTTGTCGGGTAACATCGGAGGCCACGAGGTGATACACCTGCGCGTGCGACGGTTAGCGGTTCATTAGAAATTTTTATTAATTTAGGTTAGATCTAGGAACTTTTAGTTGTAGACGCCACTTTTAAAATGTAACATCCATTTTAGGTTACGTTATGTGTCATACGTAATTAGGGTTAGTCCTATTGTCATATAAGTTCAGATATAATTTACATTACACATTATTGTCAACTATACTATACTATATAAGTTTTTCTGTAGTTGCTACCTTATTGGGAGGTATCTTAATTGAGCGACAATCAATTAACATGCAGTGTTCATGATTAGTCGATATAAGCCTAAGGGCTCGTACACAAAACAGCGATGCGAATTCGATTTTTAAGGGAGACGCCTTGTCACACGAAATCGCATCGCAGCAATTCGCATCGTATTTTTTTGCGTTACGAATTCGCATCGCCTCGCTGTTTTGTGTACGGGCCCTAAACGTTGCCCATTATTTTTAATACCATTCGAGTTTATTATTCTTAAAATCACTTTGTAGTAGGGGGCGATTCATTACCAAATGCATTGGAAACCATTTTTTTTTACTTGATAGGTTGACGTTTGGCCCTCATCTCGCGTGGTGGAAAACGATGATAATTCCAGGTTGTATACCACAACCAATTTTTCATTTTTGCTTCAAGGAGGGGTCATTCTTGTCGGTACCACAGTTTTAGAGCTATATTTTTCCAAGACACCATGGCGGCGCAACCAGTCGCCGTTACCAACAAAATATACATATACAGCTCTAAAGAGAGTTACTTACCTGGTGTCTACTTGGTGGCGCAACCAGGCTATTCGTTTCGACGGTAGCGACCATAGGATACGCCGCCATGGTGTTACGGTGAAATATTATAGTTCAATCAAACTATTCCACTTTTTATTTTAGGGACTTTTATACCGCACAGCGTATGTCAGTCCCATCGTAACCTAATAAGGTATAAATCAACTAGAGATCAATGAATCAGACCCATGAAGTTGAATAAAATTCTCGCATTATTAGTACTCGGCAAACTATTCCTATTTAATGGGGATGATGACAGGGTATG